TGGTTAAGATGACACCACTCCACAAAATTGGTAATCAAGCTCCTATATTCCTCCTCCCTCCCCTCTCTAATACACCCCACAATTCCAAAGTCATCCAAAAACGTCTGCATATGACATGCCTCAGAGTTGTACCTGAAGTCAGAGGTGTAAAAGGTGAACAGGAATTGAGCGAGGACAATTCCTGTGGAGCCCCAGTACTGCTAACAACCTGTTCGGACACACAGCTCCGTAGCCGTACATACTGTGGCCTGCAGGTCAGATAGTCTGTAATCCAAGACACCAGGGGAGTGTCCACCTGTGCCGCTCTTAGCTTATCTCTCAGTAAAGGTGGATGGATGGTGTTAAAGGCACTGGAGAAGTCAAAGAACATAACTCTCACAATGCTCCCCGTCTTCTCCTGGTGAGAGTTAGCTCTGTGTAGCAGATATATGACTGCATCCTCCACTCCCAAGTGTGACCAGTAGGCGAACTGCAGGGGGTCCAGTGCTGTGCTCACCAGGGTTCTGGGGTGGTCCAGTACAAGCCTTTCCAGAGTTTTCATTAGATGAATCAACCTGAGTGAAAAGTTCTTTGTTGATTACTACCTGTGAGTGATCACCAACTGCTCTGGGATCGAAAATTATTTCTTTTGTTTTCTGAACATTCAGAATTAGGCTCTTGTTGTCACAACATTGCACAAACCTTTAGATTTCTGACATGTGTACAGATGAGCTGCTACCTCAATGCTTTAAGCCAAGATCAGCTGTATTATCTGAGAATTTGAAAATTAAGTTGCTTTGACTACAGCTTGTACAATCATTTGTATAACGTGTGAACAGAACTGGAGAGCTCACACAGCCCTGAGGGTCACCTGTGCTTATAGATCATGACTCGGAAAGAGTTTTGTTGACCCTGACATACACTGTACGATCTGTTGAAAATGAGTGGTGCCATCTTAAAATGTTATATCCCTGCTGCCTTTTCTAATCTGCTTCTCTTCCTTCAAACTTCAGCTCTTCTCAAAACCTTAAGAAGAAGCACTATTCCAGCACTTACTGTAGATCTCAGCCTGTCATCTCCATAGCAGCAATGCACTGTCTCCCATGTCAGAACAGTAAGTTTCAATGATAGACTCTGAGCTTAATCGTAAGAGCAGCACAGAGCATCAAGATAAAAAAGCTATAGTCAAGAGGACATGGCTGAAGAAAGATGGGATGTAATTTAGGGGCATGGAAAAAATAAGGGAAAGAGAAGAGAGTTCAGTGCTTGCCTTTGTTAGATGATGTTTTCTTTTTCTGCTGCCTTTTAACTTGCAATACACTCACCAAAGAAGGCTGTGTGACATGTGTGACGAGATGCAGAAGAGTATGGGATTTCGGCTCTAGTCTGTCTGGAGGCGTAGATTCGAGTCAGTTGAGGACAGTCAGCTTCTCGTTTTCAAAAGTCACTTGACAAATGAAATGACTTCAGTTAGTTATTCAAATGATCTATGGCAGTTGGTCATTCCCCACAGTTTTCTGGGGACTGTATTTCGATCTATAGTTGAAATCTGAGCCTAAATAAAAAGAAAAAGCAAGTGATTAGGTTTATGAGCCATCTAATTACTTATTCGTTTAAAACGCTATATAAAATAAAGTTTATTATTAATTTGCTGGACAGAGCGGTGAACATTATTATGCATAAGACAAAGATAACGATCCTGATCAGTTTAGAAA